GACAGACGTTCTCGTCATGGTGGACAACACACTCGCCAGCTGCGTTTGGTTCAAAGGCCGGGAAAATCTCCCAATTCTTACTCGGGACAGCAGCCTAGAAAGTTATTAGAACCGTTACAGCAACGTTACCGTAACGGTAGATAGGTACTTACCTGGTATGCCTTATATTCCTTGGATTCATACACAGTATCCATTTCTGCGTAGGAGGGTGGTGGGGTAGGAGGGTGGTGGTGGTGGTGGTGGTGGTGGTGGTGGTGGTGGTGGTGGTGGTGGTGGTAGTGGTGGTGGTGGTGGTGGTAGTGGTGGTGGTAGTAGTGGTAGTGGTAGTGGTAGTACTACTACCATGTCAGTGCTGAAATAGTATTGGAATGTTAGAAACTTACCTTTGTCGATATTTTACAGAACTTAGTGGATTTGAAAACGAGTGCAGTGTTTTATTTTCGAGTGCGTGCCAAGAACTGACGCGCGCGGGGTACCTCAGAACGAGTGCGCGTCAGGTGTACACGCGGGAATATGCCAGCACGTTGAGGGGACGGGAACGTGAGGCGCAGTCGGCATTTCATAGGCTGGATGCCAGTCAAGGGTCCACATTGACTTTCTTCCGCAAGCTGGCCATCATTCATTCATCACTGTCCTACAGGCTAGGAGGTATAGTACCTAGCCTTTCCTGTGCCAAGCGGCGACAAGCGGACGACAAGACGGGCCTTTTGATGAACGACATTTGCCATCCCATCCATATCCCATCCACCTACCACCTACCACCTTGCCTTCCTTACGAATACCCTCCGTCCGCTCTCTCTGTCCCCCAGAGATCCTTCCTCACACACACTCGACCTCTACTTGATTATTTGGACTTCGCGGAGGACTACATCCTTACTTATCGTGCCTGCTCGACCCTGACCGTGGGCCGCGTGCAAGCGAAGTGCAGGGACTAGCCAGTTACTTCTACCTGGTCGCTCGCAGCGAACGATTGGAAGTCCAACGAAACGTGGTGTTGGAAGAGGGCTTACCTGCAAAGGTAGATACTGTACCTAGCGTCGGAAGGGCGTCACATTGCGCTATTGCGACACGCTTTGCGAGAGGAGAAGCCCACTTCCCACTGACGGCGGAACAAAGCGAGCAGAACAAAAAACCTACTCAACCCGCGGGTCTCGTGCTTGCCGCCGGACGCCGACTCCGCCTTTGAAGTATCCCATCACGCCTGACCGCCATGCCCTTCCACACTCCCAAATCCTTCCGCCTGCGCGAACTCGCCAGCGCCTCTCTCGTCGCCTTCAAGCAACGACGTAGTATCACGGACCAGTCGGTGCCGATGAGCTATCCACTATGGGAGGCCGCGGCGAATATCACCATGGACGCCATTACTACAACTGCACACGAGTCACATCCCAACTTCGTGCATCTGGCGGGTCTGGTATCCGAGGCCGTCCTCGAAGTCGTGTTTGTCGCCCTGCCCGGCTACTTGGTCGCCATCACGGGCATGTTCGATGCCAACAGCCAAAAGTTCCTCGCCGAACTCAACACCATGGTCTTCACGCCATGCTTGATCTTCACCAAACTCGCCAGCCAGCTCAACGCCGACAAACTTGCCGATTTGGCTGTGATTCCATTCATATTCGTCATTCAAACCATCGTATCCTACACCGCCGCCCAGATCATGGCACGACTGTTTGGCTTTGGGAAGAAGAACAAGAAGATGCAAAAGAACTTTGTGCTTGCGATGGGAGTCTTTGGAAACTCAAACTCGTTGCCAATCTCCTTGGTCCTGAGCTTGAGTAAAACCATTCAGGGACTGCACTGGGATCGGATCCCAGGAGACAACGACGAGGAAGTGGGAGCAAGAGGAATTCTGTACTTGCTGATATTCCAGCAGTTGGGACAACTCCTGCGATGGACCTGGGGATACTCAGTGCTCTTGAAACCCGCGGATCAATACAGCGCGTCAGAACGCGGAGATGATGACGAGGAACGGGCGAGGTTGATTGAAGATGGGCCTGGATTCGACGGGACGGATGACACGATCAAAGGCAAAGGAGGTAGTGACTCTGGCTTCAATAGTGCATCCGAGACGCCAACCTCCTCGTCGACCGCATCGAGAGAAGACCTTCGACAGGAGATCATTCCTGCTACGCCAGCGAACGGCAACGACATCAGCACGGAGCCACGAAAGCTGCATCGTCGGAACGTCGATGATGATACGGATAGTGTCCGTTCCGCTTCCACGACCTCAATCACCCAGTTTCCTCAGTTCTCACGAACGCAATCATCGCGGTCTACCGCCGAAGCGCCTGTGGGTTGGAAAGCACCGCTGTATCGTGTGCAGAACACGGTGGTGATGTACGCTCGAAGAGTATGGCTCACCATTAGCACGTTCTTTATCAACCTCCTTCGTGCACTTCCAACGCCGGTGCAAAAGGTACTCAGGACTTTCCACTACTACAACAGCAAATTCTGGGCTGGCGTCTGGAGACAAATGAATCCTCCGCTGTGGGCAATGTTGGCAGCTCTTATCGTAGCCAGTGTCCCACGCCTGCAACAACTCTTCTTCGACGATGGCACTCTGATACGCAACTCCGTCACTCGTGCGATTGAACAAAGTGGAGGTGTGGCCGTCCCTCTTATTTTGGTGGTTCTCGGCGCGAATCTGGCCCGCTCCACGCTACCACAAGACCAGCTTGCCACGTCACCAGAAGAGAAGAAAGAGGAACGCAAGCTACTGTACGCCTCGCTGTTGAGCCGAATGGTGGTTCCCGTCGTGATCATGGCTCCTGTGCTGGCGCTGACGGCAAAGTACGTGCCCGTCTCGATACTGGACGATCCGATATTCATCATTGTCTGCTTCCTATTGACGGGCGCTCCTTCGGCATTGCAGCTTGCTCAAATCTGCCAGCTGAACAACGTCTTTATGGGTGCCATGTCGAGCTTACTGGTAGCGAGCTACGTCGTGGTCATCTTTCCGAGCACACTCTTGCTGGTGCTCATGGCACTGGAAGTTCTGGAATGGGCTGTTCTGAATTAGTTGCTACTTGCACCTGGATACGTGGGACAAGAACCCAACCAACTCCGGATAAACAATATAGAGATGATTATACATGCATTGCGGGAGCGACAGGAAGGATCATGGAGCAGTGGGTCCACGACTATACCTACAGAAAAGGCGATGGGACCATGGGGCAGTGCCTCGGGCCGTTGCACGATGTTCACGATTCTGCTATTGGCGAGGCGCTTGGGAGTTGCAAATTAATGTACAAGTATAGGAATGGGTGGGGCATCTGAGCTAGGTGCGCAAATACCTATATTGCGTTTCAGAATTCTATGATTTCGTCTGTCTGACGGTGAGCATGTGTGAAAATCAATACCTGGTGCCTTACCACCTACGGTAAGTACTTTTTCTTAGCGCAGTGCAGATCATGTATATCGACACCTCAGTTACATGCATTGGCCTGGTACTAAGAGGGCATGATAGAGACGCATCGATGTGAAGTCGCGACTAGAGTTCCCGAGCACATACAGTCCACTCCAGATACATGTACACGTACATGTCAGGTATCTGAACTTCAAGTGCGTGAACGACAACAATGATGTAGGTCAGAGTCGTCTGGCGTTCTTTATTGTCGTCACACTGATGCAAGCATTCAAATGTACGATCACCTGCACTTCAACTGCGCGGTGCTTGCTGACTCTATTAGTACTTGAGGTAGACATCGTACGCAATCACAACAGCAAGACATTCCACCTCTCTTTCCGATTACCCACCACTTCACGAACCGGGCACATCCACAGCAAAGCAGCTGCACCACAACCCATCCAAAATGGCCTCCACCAGCATCGGCGCCACAGGCGCACCCGCCAACGCCCCCGGCGAGCAACACGAAGTCCGCCAAACCACGACGACCGAAGACATGAAACCCAACCCATCTCAATCGCTTCCCCTCTCTGCGGCCCGCCAAGCTCTCGTCGACGATATCATTGCCCTCTACTCGTGCGAGCCCACGATCAAGCGTGTGGAACGATATACGCCGGATTGCGTCTATGATGATCAATTCGTGTATGCGAATGATCGATATAAAATGGCGGGGCAGTGGTTTGCTTTGCCGAAGTTGTTCAAGGAGTCGAGGAATGAGGGGTATGAAGTTATTAAGAATGAGGATAATTGTGAGTTGTTATTTAGCTGGATTGATATTTTTACCTTATTGAGGAGAGAGAGAGAGATAAAAAGATCCTAACGAGTTGGACAGTGATTCAATTTAAGAATGAACAAAGCTGGACGTTCAAAATCATCCCCAAGACTGCCACGATCAACGCTCTGGTTTCCCTGTCTTTGGAGCCAGGAAGTGAAGAGACGGGGTTTGTGAGGGTCAAGTATCATAAAGATCAAGCCAACGATAAGGATTACAGTCATGAGGGCTTGGGATTCTCGTTTAAAAAGTGGCAAGCCGATCAGGTTGCAAAGCATATGAATGCCGAGGAAGTCAAATATTTTGAAAAGGACAAGGTTGCGGGTAAGGAGCCTGTGAGAAAATATGGTTCGGGAGATGTTGATGGCAGTGCGCCGAAGAAGGATTTGTAGTTTTTTTCTGTTACATGTGATTGTATCGTGGACTGCCAATGCGATCTTAGGTACCTACCTGAGGTATCTACGGCATATAAAGAGGTTACTGGTGCAAAACGTCGCAGTGGTGTGCATAGCCCACCCTCTCTCATAATTCGTACATTACTACCTTGACTTTTCTTTTACCCACTCCCATCACTCCTAACCATAGACATAATACACTTCACTCTCCCTCCACCCAAAAACATAATGTATATCACAACCCACCCCTACAGTGTTTTACCAGTAGTACCCGTAGTAGTAGTAGTTGTAGTATCATTCACTGGCTGTCCCGTAGCAAGTCCACCACCTCCTCCAACTTTCCTCTCCACCTCCTTCCCAGCAGCTTTTGCATCGTTTGAGAATCCCGTTGATGGATGACTATTGCTGCTATTGCTGTTATGATGGCCGCCTAGAAGGTCATCTGCGAAGGAATTTATATTTTGGCGAATGTCTTCGGAGAGGTTCTATATTAGGTAGACGTATAAGGTAAGTATGGGGTATGTATCAGGTGTGTGTGGGTGTGGGTATGGAAGAGGGGATGGGAATGGGAGTAGGAGAATGTTTACATTTAAACCTTTGATTCCACCTTTGATTTCTTCTGCGGCTTTTTCGCCTTGGGCTCCGGTTGGGTTGTTGGTGGTAGTGGGTGTTGACATGGTGGTGATTAAGGTACAAGTGCTTCTGTTTCGAGGACTTGGTTGGGGTTGTAGTTGGCTGGCTAAGGGATGTAGCTAGAAGGCTGTAAGGAGGTATAGATAGGAGGTACATGTATATATACCAGTCCTGATATCATTTATAGATCCATCATATACATGTCACGGTCACGGTCACGGGTCAGGTACATGTATCTCTCGTACCAGATCAGATGCATTGGATGGGGCAAGTGGAAACGGCGATGTCATGGCTGCAGTGACGTAAGACATGATGTTCAGCGGACATCACTGGGCGGGCAGATTGTTGAGACGGGAACGATGTGTGGCTTGTGTGGTTGGAATTTTGAAGCCCGCCCAGCCACCACCACTGGAGACTGGAAGACACAAGCGAATGCAGCACAACCATCCGGACCACCACTCTTCCGTCTACTCACTCACTTGCACAACCACAACAACAACAACGAGACCCGTCCGACTTCCTCCCCCCCTCCCCTCCGAACGAGGCACCACTTCCCACCATGCGATAGACGACAGATCAGCCACATCCTCCTCCATCAACCACTCCGTCCAGTCGCGTGCTCTTCACGCGTCGAGCTTGGTGAAACAGCAGCAGCAGCAGCAGCACTGCCCTGCCTCCATCACACCACCTCGAAACCCCCGCGAACATGTCCGGTCCTCAGATCTACATGCGATGGCCGTCCTTCACTCTCAGCGCCCTCAATCCCGATCCACTTCCAGCCGCGCTGCCGCCGCCGATCCGGGAACGATCATTTCGCTCGCCCTTCGGCATTGACAAGGATCTCTTCAACTTCGCTCTGAAGCCGCAAGTGCCCATTAGCTTTGCCAGCGCCTACATTGTCAGCGTGCTTCTGCTCAACGCCTACAATCGCAAGCGCAACCAGAAACCGTGGGCAGTCTCGCGGCAGAAATGGTTCAAGCCCTTTGTGATCATTCACAATGCGCTGCTCACCATCTACTCCACGGCCACTTTCCTGGCCATGTGCCGGGCCTTCGCTCACACCTGGCCCGGACTCAGCAACGAGTATGGACTGGCAGGTGCTGCAGATGCGCTGTGCAAGATCCACGGCCCGAGAGGTCTCGGTGACGCTGCCACTTTCAACAGCACGATCAATATTTGGGAGGTGAAGAACACGGCGATTCGTTTGGGCTACGACGGTAATCCAGACCCCACGGACTATGGTAGGCTGTGGAACGAGGGACTCGCGTTCTGGGGCTGGATCTTCTATGTCAGCAAGTTCTACGAGGTGGTCGATACCCTGATCATCCTGGCAAAGGGCAAGAGAAGTGCGACATTGCAGACGTACCATCACTCGGGCGCCATGCTTTGCATGTGGGCAGGCATCCGCTACATGAGCCCACCCATCTGGATGTTTGTCTTTGTCAACTCGTTCATCCACGCGCTCATGTACGCCTACTTCACGCTTACCGCCCTGGGTTACAAGGTTCCCGCATCGATCAAGAAATCTTTGACTTCCCTACAGATTACTCAGTTTGTGTGGGGTGCCTCTTATGCAGCCATCCACCTGTTCGTGCAGTACGATATCCCGATCTCCACCCCATACCAGGTCGCGCACACCATTTCTGCTATTGCCTCCAGCGCCACATCGAAGGCACAATCGGCCACCTCGGCTGTTTCCGAGGCCATGGCCACACCGAGCGCTGTAGCATGGGGCGCATTGGGCAAGAAGCTTCTTCTCCGAGCGCTCGGGGAGGAGGGCTTAGCAGAGAAAGTGCACAACAAGCAGCACCAGCCACTGAATGCGGTCATGGAGGAGAAGATTGAGCAGTTTAAGGAACAGGTTCCCGGAACCCCCAAGTACGAGACACGCTGGAGAACCGAATGGACCCGCACCGATTGCCTAGACACTACTGGAGAAGCATTCGCAGTATATCTCAACTTGTTCTATCTGGCCCCACTTACCTTCCTGTTTGCACGATTCTTCTACAAGGCTTACCTGAAGAGAGGCAAGTCTCGTAGTGCAGCTCAAGGCGCTAGGTGAGTGAACCAATTCTTTACATTGTATGGAACGGCTATAGCCGTCTCCGGTGCGGTTCGAGCTGCGATGGAAGACAAGAAATCATGTACTGACGTTTTGACAGAAAAGTCATTGACTCGGCCAAAGAAGGAGAGACCAAGACTGAAGAGAAAGTCGAGGACGCCGGAAAGAGACTGGAAGGCAAGATCTCCCGAATCAATGGAAAGGAAGTCCAGCAGCAGCTTCGACGTGATGTCCAGTCTCTGAAAGATGGCACCTATCGGGCTGGGCGTCGAGTCAGTTCGCAGATACAACATCTCGAAGAGCAAATCGACAACGCTTCTGTCAAGGCCAAGCAGACTGGTAAAGCTGCTGCAGAGAAGACCAAGGAAGCCATTGGCGAGGAGAATATTCGCGGCGCTGAGAATCAGGTGCAGGAGACTGCAGAAGAGGTCAAACAGACTAGCAAGAATGTCGCGCAACAGGCACAGCAATCAGGCAAGAAGGCAGCGAAGAAGGCTCAACAGGCCAGCCAGCATGCTGCCAATGGGGTCCAACAGGAAAGCAAGAAAGCTGTCGAGAAGGCCAAACAGGAAAGCAAGAAGTTGGATACCGACAATGGCTCTTCCTCAGCTGAGAAGAATGGCAGCAGTGCGCAGCCGGACGATAAGTGGTTCGCTAGCGAAAAAGACTTGGAGAATGAGCCGCCGGTATCCCAGGAAGATCGCGTCGCCAATTCGCCAAAGGTGAAGCAGAGCAAAGGCGACTTCGACGCGGAGCGAATTCACAAGGAAGGTACGGATTACATCAAACAGCAGGTGCATAGCACTCCTTCAAAGGCGCCAGCTGACGGCGGTGCAAAGGGTGAACTCTTGCCCACTGATGGAAAATCGAAAGCGGAAAGTGAGCGCCAGCAGGACTCCAATCTTGAGGCTTCGCTGGATTCTCGTCCGGGCGTGAAAGACGAGCTTCCGGCAGAGGGCGAGAGCCCACAGCAGTCGAAGAAGGAGAATGCAGCGCCTCGTCCTGGAGACGAATCATACTCATCGGTAGCCAGTCTCGATGATGAGGACACTGATGCTATGGGCAAGAGTGGAGCAATCATCAACTTGGCCGCCTCGAAAGCTGAGGAAGCCGCAGACAAAGTCGACAGTGCCCTTCAGGCACGACCAGTCTCTTCTGCAAGCAACAAGCGCCCCGAGTCACCTACGAAGCTTCCCAGGAAGCTGGACTCGAGATCCCAGTCTAGATCAGCGTCTCGTTCAAAATCGCCCGCTAAGAAGCCCTTCGCTCCTCCAGGGGGCAGTGGAAAGTGACAGGAGGACGGTGGATACTTCAGCACACCGCCTAGAGGTGGGGGAAGAGGAAGTGGGAGCGTTTCACAAGCAGGTGATTCGGAGACGCCTGGTGGCTCATTTTCACCTCTATCGCCTTCGCCCATCAGGGCGTTTTACCTTCATAGGAGAGCGAATAGTAGTACGAGTAGCTTAGGTTTACGCAATTCTAGCCAGTGGGAGGATTGATGATGTTCTAGAAGAAGGGAGGTTGCATGCAAGGCTACATGTACCTGAGTTGATAGAATTACAGCGTAAACATAATTTCGGAGCTTTATTGTGAGAGACGTTTCCGAAGCTTCAATATCTGTGGGTCGACGTGTCAGTGAACGAATGTCGAGTAGAAAAGTGAAAGTAAAAGGCAAGGGTTTGCGCTATGGCAGGCCATAACGTAAAATGGGACATGAGGTCAGAGTCGACAAAGCTCCGACGCTTTACCTGTAGTAGGGAAAAACACTTGCACACGACCTCATCGCCTCTCCAACTTCGACCGCTCTACCCATCTCATCTTCGACCCCATCGCCGTCGCCCGAACTCCAACCCTCTCTCTTACTCGGCGACAGACTCTTCTCGGCCCACGCGCAGCAACTTCACCTGCAGCAATGGCGGCGGCACCTCCTTTAGAAAAGCTTGCGGTGCCCGTGGAGGTCGAAGTCACGCCCATAACGCATCTCGAGCCTGTGCGCACAAATGGCTTCATGGACCTCATCCTAGACACATATCAGTCCTTCCAGGCGCGAAGGGAAGCACTGGGGTTGAGCAATCCAGGCACAGTTGATGGCATTGCACGAGAGGTGCAACGCGACGTCTTTCTCACCAACCAGACCTTCTCAGGACTGCGCGCCGAGCTCAACAAGAGTTTCTCCATCTACCCATTATTCCAAATCAGCCATGCCTTTTCCAGCGGGTCGCAAATGCTATCGCCGTACACCTTCCTGGCACTTTACGGCACCAACAACGTACGTCTCTTTTGCGTCCCGCGAGCAGCAGGAAGAAGAATCATTCATCAGCTAACCCTTCATCGTACCACTCCAGACACTCTGCCAGGCTCAACTCGATTCAGATGCCTCGTTCAATGCCCGTTTCAACCAGCGCATCACCAACCGTCTCATGTTCAAGTCCTCCGTACAGATACAGTCTGCATCGGGAATGAGCCCAGGAGGAGCGCAAGTGTCTCTGGAGCAAGACTACACGGGTAACGACTTTACGGCGTCGCTGAAGAGCATCAACCCCAGCTTGCTGGAAGGCGAGCTGACGGGCATGTTCATCGGTTCGTACCTCCAGAGCATCACACCGCGATTGTCGTTGGGTATGGAGGGTGTTGTGCAAAGGCCAGGAAGCGGCATGGGACCAGAGGCAGCAGTCAGCTATGCAGGGCGATACAGGGGCGATGACTGGATCGCAAGCGCACAACTCTTGACACAGGGTGGTGTACAGCTGAGCTACTGGAAGAAGCTCATGGACAAGGTGGAGACCGGTGTGGACGTCAATCTGCAATTCGCAGGCCTTTCTGGTGCGGGTATGATGGGAGGAGGTCGGAAAGAGGGCGTGGCAACGTTTGGCACCAAGTACGAGTTTTCACGATCGATCTTCCGCGCACAAATCGACAGCCAGGGCAAGCTCGGATGCCTGTTGGAGAAGATTGTTGCGCCGCCAGTCAAGCTCACATTTGCTGGTGAGCTGGACCACGTCAAGGTAGGACCATTGAAGACGACAAATACGGGATGCACAGGAATATGAGCTAACATCTGTGGACAGAACTCTGCCAAACTCGGTCTCGCAGTATCAATCGAAGCATCAGGCGAAGAACTCATGGAGCAACAGGACAAAATTTCGCCCGCCTCGCCTCCCTTCTAAGCGCATACGATGACAACGATGCGTCCCGAATGGAGTTCCCGCTTGGTCACTCTTCCTTCTCCTTGTACAATACTCGATTAAAAAGCGTAGAGACGGACGGCCGACGACTGCATGTGTGTGTCTGAAGAGCAGCCACGTGCGGCGTAGCTCGGATGTATCTGAGAGACGCAGATGGAGGTTCATCGATTCCAGTGTTCGGCTTGGGTTCATGATGCATAGCGGACGGAGCAGCAGCGGTGGCGGCGGAGCGTCAACGACAGGCAGACATAGGCCGCGGTGTGTAGTAATGCTACGTAGAAAGCACAGGAGTAGCTTTGTGTACATTTACCAGAAAATACCATCACCTTCCCACCTCACTAGGTTGCTACATCTATTCAATCGCCTCCTATCGCTTGGCTCATTCTTAGATATCTTGCCTTGGCTTGTCACATGCGCGACCTGGGACACCATGTCACATGCACTACTCGTCCAACTTTATGATTTCCTCTCTCACACCACCACCACCCACAACACACAGCTCAAAATGTAACCAGCCATGCACAAGAAAAACACCCTTCTCCTCGTCTTCATCCACGGCTTCAAAGGCAACGACCATACCTTCCACCACTTCCCCGACCATCTCCGCGCCCTGATCGCGCACTCGCTCCCCCGAATCGACGTCCTCGCCCTCCAATACCCGCAGTTCCAAACCCGCGGCGACCTGCACGACTGCGTTGCCAATTTCAAAGAATGGCTGCAAAACAAAGTCATCGACCTCGAAGTCGCCAATCAGACCCCGAGTCCGACCGTGGATCCGGGCGTGCATGTCATCTTGTGCGGACATTCAATGGGCGGGATTGTGGCTGCGGAGGCGTTGTTGAGTATTGCGGGAGATGAGGTTGTGCCTGTTCGGGGGTCTGATGATAGGATGAAGGGCACTACTACTCCTCCTCGAGAAGAAGAAGAAGAAGACTCGAGTAGTGTACTCTTCTTTCCCCGCGTGAAAGCTGTTCTCGCGTTCGATACGCCATATCTCGGAATCAGTCCGGGAGTTCTGGCGCATGGTGCGGAAGAACAGATTGGGCATGCGAATAAAGCATATCAGGCCTATGATCAAGCTGCGAGTTTCTTCGGCTGGGGGAATAATAATAAGAGCGCTGCTACACCACAACCCATCACAAATGCGAGCAGTAAAGGTTTGCCAGCTCCCGGTAATGCAGGGGGAGGTGGTTTCAAATGGGGCAAACTCGCCATGTACGCTGGAGCGGCCGCAGGCATCGCGGGTGTAGCGGGCGCGGCATATATGGGTTGGAACCATATCAATCAGGGTGTCGCGTGGGCGAGCAGTCATCTCGAATTCGTGTCATGTTTGGCACGAGGGGCGGAATTGCAGAAGAGGGTGGAGAAGGTGGTGGCTCTGACAAGTACGCATGATGTTGGATTTGCGAATTTCTACGGGGCGTTGGATCCGGAGAAAGTCATGAGTAAGACGAAATATGCGGGACAGCTGTTAGGAGAGGATCGGACTTTTTGTGTAATACCCAAACAGGCCAAGGAAAAGATCGCCAACACAGAAAGGGGGAATCGTCCGATGGATGCCAAAAGACCTTCTTCGCCTCCTTCCTCTGACGACAATCGTGGACCAAAAAATGACCAGAGAGCACGACAAGACAGCAGCTCTGATGCTGCGAACGAGCAGCACATGTCCGTCGAGAACGAGCAAGTCCGAGCATTTGCAGATGACAGGAGTAAATCCAAGGGACGCTGGGTCAAATGCGTCAACTCGATTGCGGGAGACGAAATTACGGCCCATCAATCCATGTTTGTACCGGACAAGAATCCCGATTATCATGCCATGTTGCCTCGTGCGCGGGATCAGGTGTTGGAGTGGATAGATTGGAAGTGGTATGAACAATCTGAGAAGAAGGGGGAGGGGGAGGGGGAGCCGGATCATGATGATAATGATGATGATGATAATGACGGTAATAATAATAATGATGATGATGACAAGAAGACAGAGGGTCGAGTTTAGACGGAGGAGATGTGACTTCTTCTTCTTCTTCTTCTACTTCTCATCCCTGACGAATTGCAAGTCCATACATATAGTAGTAAAAATTACAACTTTCATCAACAAAGGAGTACCTACCTACCTACCTACATGTGTTTGGTTAGTTGATTGATTGGTAAAATAATTCCCCCGATTGCTAGGAGAGAGCGAGGCTGCGAGAGTATATATATATCAAGAAGCTATCCTATATTTTTGTTTTTTCTTTATTGTAACGAATAGAGTGCTAGAGTGATAGAGTGATAGAGAAATAGAGGGATATATTTTCTCTTATCTATTTGACTTTCTAACTTGGTAAGAATATAAGAGGGGAGAAGACGGAGAGAATATAAGGAGAGAAAGATAGAGAGAAGATGAAGAGAAGATAAGAGAAAAGATCGACTTGATTCTTATTGGCGCTTTCGATAAGGTAGTCTGTTTTCTATAAAGATATATAAGAAAAGAGAAGGAGGGAGAAGGGAGAAGGAGGAAGGAGGAAGAAGGAGGGGAGAGTTTGTTCTTCTATTCCTTCTTCTTCTCCTGTTTTTTTCTCTCTCTCTTTTCTCTTAGCGGCTAACTAACCAACTAACTAACTGCTTTACTACCCATTTCACCCTAATTCTAAACTTGCTGCTTGCTGCTTGCTACTCTTATTAGGCCCTACTTCCTAGTTTGGGCATTGATATTGATTCCCTATAATAATATCCTCCGATAAGCTAAATTTCTTAATCTAGCTTATTACTTCCTTCTTCCTCCTCGGATCTAGTAAGGGAGGGAGTAAGTAATGTAATGTAATGTAAAATAAATTCAAATACCTCAGCTCCGGAGAGGGGCATGGGGAATTTCTTCCCGACTATTTCATCACCCCTTCCCCCCCCCCCCCTTTTTCCATCATCACCATCCATCAAGAATACTCCCCCTCATCAAAATCATCAAACATCCAATGTTCGTTGATCATCCTCCTATCAAACTCCGACTCTGCAGCTTGCAGAATCCCAGCTTTAACCAAACTAGTACGTTGCAAAGCGTCGTCATACTGGTCTATCGGCACCCATCCTTCCGAGCCCATGCCAATCGCATCCTTGCACGCTTGGAGTTGCTGATCTGAATCGAGTTGTTCAGTGTGGATGTGTATTGATTGTTTGATTTCGTCTTCCGAAAACTGGATCGGGCACGGGGATTTGGCATCGTTTGAGGAGGAGGTCGTTCCTGTTATCATTTCAGACCAGCTTTGGCTGAGCTTGATCAAGTCGGCTTTGAGAGTCATGTTATCTCCTTCCCATGGAGAGCTTGCGTGATCGAAAAGTTTGCGTCGCAAAACGCTGAAGTCGTACGCCAGAGCATTGTAATGAATGGGGTTGAACTTCTCTGTGGCTGCGACGTAAAAAACATGTAATTGACGTTTGCGGAGGAGCATGACTTGATTGTATTGCTCGCTTTCGTCCAGGGAGTCGAAATTCGGGGGTAGGGTCGGTAGTCGGAGTGACTCTGTGGCGCTGTCGCCGTAATTTTGAAGACTGTCGGGAATACCGCATTGGAGAAAAAGGGGAAGTAATGCGCAGTGTTGCCAGTCAATCAGGCCAGTGATACTGAGATCGTCTTCTGATACAAATATGTTGTTGGGTTGGAGATCGGGATGTCTGATGGTTGGGCGAGTCAGGGTGGAATCGCCGTGTGGTATGATATTGGGTACAGCCTGCAGGTATTTTTCGAGATTTTGTACATGCTCCGAGGGCGATACTTTCTGATAGTTGTAGAGCTCTCGGTACAGACGTTGGAAAGGAAGAAGGGGTCGGCCGTATTTGTTCAGATACGCCATTTCCTTTTTGGCTCCAGCGGAGAGAACTTCTGCGGGATCTGTGACTTTGGAGACTGTCAGTAAAGGTTTGCCTACCAATGGCGAGTTGTTGTTATTGCAGAGCAGACAGCGGGTATGAATTGGATGAGTGATGGGAGAAGAGTGGTGGATACGTACATGGTCCACGATCGACATCCAGTTCCGATCTTCTCCCATACCACAACCGAAGTCTGGTATCAGGACCAACACAGAAGCCATCTTTGCACGAGCCGTTGGGGGCAGGAACTTCAACTTTCCTGGTTGCAGCGTCCAGATCTCTGGTGTAGTAAAGACTTCCGCTCGCCGGGAACGAAAGAGCAAATAATCGAGCCTCCAACTCGGCGATCCGAGAGACCATATTGATTCTAGGCTTTTCTGGTAGATCAAACCAAATGTCGCCCAGATTTGTCCCCCGTACTAGTTCCATGAAGATATATTCCGTGCCTGCAGGATTCTCCGATGTGGCCGAGTAACTGTAGATCTCGGGAACGGGTATGTCGTGCAGACGGAGAAAGCGCATGGTAGCAACCTCGTTGGCGACGACGAGATGCTTGGGTTCTGTGGAGAGATAGGGGATTCGTCCGACGAGCTGGAAGCCATCGTGCATGGTAATGAGAAAGGTTCGATTGAATCCTCCTTCGCCAAGCTTCTCAAAACGAGCCACATCTCCTGCGCTCCTGTTGACGGACGAGGCAGCCAGACGCTTGAATTCTGATACATTGAACAACCGTCTTCGTTCTGCATGTCTGAGGGCGTCGTTCCAGCTGCAATTTGATAGTCAATAACGAGCGAGCGAGCGAGAGAGAGAGAGAGAGAGAGAGAGAGAGAGAGAGGTGTGTGTA